AAAGAGCTGTTGAACTGTTGTTGTTTTTTTCTGTGATTATGGGTAATTTCTTTTTATTCACAGTCAGTATAATAGCCATAGTAACTTTTGTTTTCAAAATAAAACCACACTTTTCTGCAATTGAGAGCTGATCAGTAATTAAAAGTTGTCAAGCGTTTAATATTTTTATATCCAGTTCTTGTTTGCAACAGTTTTTATAGGTAAACTATTTAAAAAGTCAGAATGCTAAAGGAAATGACAAATTTCCTTTTCCGGGAGAGAGAAAAAATTGTGCTGCCTGTTATTTTCCTGCACTTATATTTTGTTGAATTCTATTGCCTCATTTCATAAGTACTCCAAAGACCTTTATCTTGATTTCTGATCAATATGTTTCTGTTAGACCAGGTTCCAACCTATGCAGGTAGTCCTCATAACCATTATTGAATCCGGAATTAAGGTCATAAGTCAGGCCAGTTGTTAAGCAGGTCACTATATGACGACAACCAATTTTACAACCTTTTTCTGCAGTGATCGTTAAGCAGATGTGATATTAAGCAAATTGTCCACAGTGGGCACTTTTTGCCAGAAACCGGAAGTAAATGCTATTTTCCAGCAAAAATAATAATAATACTGTAAATCATGTTCATGTGACTGCACGATGCTATAAACCAGACATGTCAAACACAAGGCCCAGGTGTGGTCCACGAAGTGGTTTCATATGGCCCACGAAGCCATTCTGGAAACAGTGAGGGAACAGCCCCCTCTGCCTTGGCCCTGGCCAGCCAGGAGCCAATGTACAATTTTGTGGCAGCCATCTATGCTGAAATGCATTCAGTCTTAGCTTCACAAGACTGTCTGGAAACAGCGAGGAACCAGCCCCTGCCATGTCAGCCCCGCCCCCGGGGGCATGGTGGGGAGGTGTCACCCTTTGTGAGGAATGAAGAAATGCACCATTGCCTGGAAGTGGCCACCAAATGCCTACTTCATATATCTGGCTTGATGGGCTCCGGGGGAGAGGTTTCAGCAGGCAGTGGGGCGCTCTCATAGCACTGAGAGGCTGAGCTGGGCGGCGCAAATCCAAAAAGAAGAGCGACGCCAACCAGCCTCCCCGGTTTCAGCAAGCAGCTGTGCGGCACAAATCTGATGAGAAGTGCAATGCTGCCTAGCCCCCAGCCTGCCCAGTTTCAGCAGGTAGCAAGGTGCAAAGCTGACGAGCTTCACACCTCCTGGCTCAACCTCTCAGGGCTATGAGGAGAGCACCTTGCTGCCTGCTGAAACCAGGCAGGCTGGGGAGCATCATGCTTCTTTTTGGATTTGTGCTGCCTGGTTCAGCCTCTTGGCTCTGTGAGGAAAGCACCCCGCTGCCTGCCAAAACCAGGAAGGCTGGGCGGCCTCGTGCTTTTTTTTTTTGATTCACACTGCCCGGCTCAGCCTCTTGGTGCTGTGAAAAAAGTGCCCTACTGCCTGCCGAGACTGGGCAGGCTGGAGGCTGGCCGACATTGCGCAAGTAACATTGACTCATGGCATCCCCTCCCCCAGAGTTCACTAAACCAGATATTTGAAGTAGGTGAGGGCCATGTGCTGGCCACTTCCAGGCGATGGTGCATTTCTTCATTCCTCACGAAGGGTGACACCTCCCCAGCCGCATTTCTTGCCTGTTTTTCTCCCTCTCTCATCTCTGTACTTAGGAAGAAAGGAAGGAAAGAAGGAGAGGGAGGGTCTGAGGAAAATCCTGCCTTAGTCCTGCCTTGTTGCCCTTTCACCATCCCCTTGCCCCCTCCTCCTGGCCTTTTCTGGGGTCTCCCATCCTCTTGCTAAGGAAGCTTTGGATACAAAGCCAGGTCTCCTCCCATGAAGAGGGAATGGGCCTCCCTCTGACTTTGCACTCGTACCCATCATGAGCAACCTGGCTAAGAAAAGCAAGCACAGCAGCAACAGCCTTGAGGAGGAGGTAAGTGCAGCTGGGTGCCCTTGGGGAGGTGGGGTTGGGCTTGGTGCCATGGGTGTTCGAGGGCCAGGCTGGGCATTTGACCTCTGCTGCCCAGGGCTCCGAGCAGCCCGCACCACCATCCAGCCCCCCCCCCCGCATGGCCTGAGAGGAACAGTGAGGCTCCTCCAGTGGACCATGCCTTGGCACTTGTCCTGGTCCTACCCCCTTCTGCCAGAGAACCTCAGATCTGTCCCACTCCTGCCCAGACCCCCACAGGCACCATTGACGGGAACGATGTAGAGCTGACCATGCCCACCCAGTAGGCCACACCCACTCCATCACACCCACCCAGTAAGCCGTACCCACCCTGGCCACACCAACCGGTCCCCCAAGGGCAACCGCAATGCTGATGCGGCCCTCAATGAAATTGAGTTTGACACCTCTGCTATAAACGATCATAAATATGGGCCAGTTGTCAAGCACCCAAAATGCAATTACATAATTGTGGGGAGAGATCAACAGAACTTTGAATCCGGGTTGTAATGAAGTCTGTCATAATACTGAACAATCATTAATAGCAATAGCACTTAGACTTACATACCACTTCACAGTGCTTTACAGCCCTCTGTAAGTGGTTTATAGAGTCAGCATATTGCCCCCAACAATCTGGGTCCTCATTTTACCTACCTTGGAAGGATGGAAGGCTGAGTCAACCTTGAACTGGTGAAAATGGAACTCCTGGCAGTCATCAGAATTAGCCTGTAATACTGCATTCTTACCCTTGTGCCACCACAGGTCATTAGGGGACCAGTCTGTAGGTCAAGAACTACTTGTAAAAAGTCAAGCAATATTCTATCTGACTTGGCTTCTGTAGGGTCTGGCTGATGTCAGTTATTATGACTGGGGGAGATTTTCAAAAACTGCTTATTATAAGACAAGGGTTCCCAACCCCCAGTCCGTGGACCAGTACAGGGCCACGGCATGCTAGCAACCGGTCCGCACAAACAAGCAAAGCCCCATCCTTGGGATGCAGGCAGCACACAGAAAACCACAGAAAAACCTCTCTCCACGGAACCGGTCCCTGGTGCCCAAAAGGTTGGGGACCTCTGTTATAAGATCCTTCTCTTCCACAGTAAAGATGCATTTTGTGACTCTTTTCTCTCTCTCTTCAATCAGTATGTAACTTTCATTCTAGTGCAGTGTCTTTAGCACATCAAAAAAAACACATCCAATTTTATAAGCATTAAGGTACATTCTAGAATTAGTGTTGTATTTAGGACATACAATAGCATATAAAACATGTTCTAAAGTGTAATTAACAAATGTGAGCTTTAAAATTATATATACACATGGTTTAAGAGTCGAGGTTGCCTACCCCTAGTTTAAGACAATATGCTTTCACCATTTTTTCCCCTAGATTGATGTAATTTGTTTCCTGGAATATGGGAATGAGAAAGCGTCTCCAGTTATATTAAACATCTTTTTTTCTGGTTAACAGAGGAACATGGGCATTCATAGCAAAGAAAGGTTTCATCAAAATGAAAAACATGTATCATGGTGTCGTGTCACAAGCCCCACCATTTATGTACTTGTATGCAATGTTACAATACAAATTCAGAAGGGTCAGGCTTGTATGACACTTCCATTATCTCATCTCCATTTTACAGATAAGATACCCACATAGGAGAATATGTAGAATGTTAATTTTTTGCAGCAAACGTAACAGTCTTATGGCAATTTCAATATGTACATTGCATGAGTTTTTGTGAATCACAGTCCACTTCATCAAATGCAGGGAATATGATACTGAAAATATGTTGGATAAATGTCTTGATAGAGGGATTAATTCTGTTATTAGAAATGTAGGTTTAATTTATGTGACTGATGGATTATAAATGGATCTCAGCTTTTGTCTTGGTTAAAGAGAGAATCACAGGAGTTTTTGCATTATGTTTCATGCATTATGTACTTTGGATATCCAATCTATGTATTTCCTTTGCTCAGGAGTAGTCATAAAATTGTTTTCAATGTTTGGAAGAAGTCTATCCTTGAAGCCTCTTCGTGGGGGAAAAGATTCTGTTACCTCTGTAACATATAAATGGTTTTAAAGTTTTTCCAAGTTACTTGGAAAAGATAAAAAAAAATTACCCGTGGTACAGATAGTCCTCAATTTACAACTTTAATTGAGCCCAGAATTAAGTTGTGCCAGTCATTAAACTGGATCAATGCACCTAATTTTACAAACTTTTTTGCAGCTGTTGTTAAGCAAATATCAAGCTCATTAAGTAAGCCTGTTGTACCTAGTGGGCAATTTTTTTGCCAGGAAATCGAAGTAAAAATCAGTTTATAGAAAAAAACAACATAAATCACGGTCCATGAGTGTGGGATGCTACTACAAACAGCCATAAATGTGGGCCGGTTGCCAAGCACCCAAAATGTAATCACATGACTGGGAAGGGGAGGCATGACAATTTCAAAACTGGGTCATAAATAATTCTAGGAAAGTTAATTGTAATTTCAAATGGTCACTAAGCAACTGGTCGTAAGTTGAGGATTACCTCTACCAGTGAAAAAGAGAACTTTGAAAAAGTTCCTAATAGAAGAACAAAAGGAAGAGAAGAACTTTCCATAAAAATGCTTTATGTTTGTTCGGCCATTTGTTATGCTCCTTTCTTCACTCTTGTCAAGTTGCTTTATCTATATACTATATTGTTGATAAATTAAATGCCAATTTAGTTAAATGCCATAATTTAAATTGTTACTATGTTACAATTGCAATAAAAAAACAAATGCTATATTAGATGTTTTAAATAGATTTTCTAATGTGTTTTCTAATGTTTTTGAATGTAAATACTTTTTATAGTTTTATAAACTAAAAAAAATTTAAAAGAAAGTTGTGAAAAAATGGTTATTTGGTACATTGCTAATTAGTGCTCCATTAATCTAAGGTTTTTCTGTAAAATATAGAAACATGATTTTTGCAATGCATTTGTCAAAATTGTCTACTATATTTATTGTCTGAATCACATTTGTTAAACCTTATGCAGATACTTAAACCAGATAATTTAATTGTTTTTCTCTTATTTAACAGATATATTTCAATTTTCTTCTCTGGGTTGGAATATTAAATTGCCTCATACCGTATGGATTTGCCCAACAAAGTAAGTGGAATAATTTTAAAATTTGAATTTGTATAGATTACATCCATTCTGAATTCATCTGGAAAGCATTGTATTCTTTTTTTTTTTTTGTAAAAGGTTTTTATTTTCAATTTTAGAATACATTACATTCTTAAAAATACTTCAGATAAAAAACAAAACAAATTAATGCACACCATTTTCGGTATTGCTCACCCATTTCCCCCCAAACCGCATCCACCCTCTAACCAACTTGCCTCTTTTCCTCTTCTTTCTCTTTATCACTCACCCCCTCTCCTCCACCTTCCTACTTACTTCTCACCTTCTTCTATCCTCTCACTCAGGATGCGGTTCCGGGGGAAATGCCCAAGCAATTCCTCTCTCCAAATTGAAACCTCAATATTATATGCAATAAAAACTATTTCTACTTATCTGAACTACTTAAATTTCAACCCATTCTCCCCCCACCCACCCACCACCCACTTCCCAGAACTAAGTACAGGGTTATATAAACATAATCTATTTAAGTTTACTAATTATACAATAACCAAAATCATACTAACCCTTAACTCTCTTCAAACTTTAACATCATAAGTTTATAAGCAAATTCATTACTCATAAAATAAATGAAACTTTGTAGTTCCATACTTCTTCTGAACATATTCTATCCATCTTCTCCATACATTGAAATATCTCTCTTGTGAATGGTCCTTTAAATAAGCAGAAATTCTTTTTTTTTTTTTTGTAAATAAATTTATTTTCAATTTTATAATGCATTACCTTCATAAAAATACTTCAGATAAAGAATAAAGCAGATTGATACACACCATATTCGGTCTTGCCCGCCCATTTCCCCCCAAACCGCATCCCACCTCAAACCAACTTACTTCTTTCCCTCTTTTTCTTCACTCACCCCCTCTCCTCCTTCACCTCAACCTTCCTACTTACTTCTCACCTTCTTCTTCTCTCTCTTGATGCGGTCCAGAGGAAATGCCCGAGCAGTTCCTCTCTCAAAATTAAAACATTAATATTATATACAATAAGACTATTTCTACTTTATCTGAACTACTTAAACTTCAACCCATCTCCCCCCACCCCCTCCCCCCCAACTTCCCAGAGCAAAATGCAGGATTATGCAAACATATTAAACATAATCTATTTAAGTTTACTAATTATACAATGAACAAAATCATAAAAACCTTTAACTCTCTTCCAACTTTAACATCATAAGTTTATAAACAAAATCATTACTCATAGAATAAGTTTTGTAGTTCCATATTTCTTCTGAACATATTCTATCCATCTTCTCCATATGTTAAAATATCTCTCTTGTGAATGGCCCTTTAAATAAGCAGAAATTTTAGCCATTTCTGCTAAATTAGAAACCTTAAATACCCATTCTTCTAAAGAAGGCAGAGTATCCTTCTTCCAATATTGACCCACCAATATAGAAATTCTTTTTTTAACAACTGGAAACATGGCTGTGTTGACACAGGTTAAAGAAATCAGCACTGATTTCTTTCCTGGAAAAGGGACTGAGCTTTACCTTCTAAATAATGCTCCAGGGCGTCTGGAGGATTTTAAATTATTTTAGAAAACTTGGAACTGTTGTGTCACTCAGGTCTCATAAAATTCTGTGCATTCTCTATTCTTCCAGCAAGGTAAACTCTTTATATTTTAATCTTCTGGACAATTAATAAAACACAAGGAAATACAACCCTAAAACTCCCTATCCAGATTTTTTACATGTAAAAATTTCAGCCAGTATTTATTCTATTTGGTGTTGATTTTCACTGTGCATAAATCTAAATATATGGCACAATCAGTTACACACACAAATATTAATTTGATTTCTCTAAATGGAGCTGCCTTCCATATAAGAAATGATTTTTACAGTAGCACTAATAATGCTACATGGTGAATAGTTGGAATGTGGAGAAAGACATGTACTAATTATAACTTAAATTAACTTTTTGATTGCATTTTTACAAAATCTGATCATATGTTTCTTATAGGTGGGAGCATTTGTATAAATGCTAATGCAAAATCATGTGCTGATTGTATACAAGCTGGCCCAGATTGTGGATGGTGTAAAAATATAGTACGTATTTTAACTATTTCAAAACAGTATTAGCATTACATAATTTATAATTGTGTAATTAATTCAAATTATGTATTGTTATGAATTTACATGATTTATATTTATAGATATGTATAAATTTGGTAACCGCAGATAATAATAACAATGATGATGATGATGATGATGATAAAGTTGGAAGGGACCTTGGAGGTCATCTAGTCCAATCCCCTGCTCAGGCAGAAAACTCTATACCATTTCGGACAAATGGCTTCTTAAAAACTTCAGCTTGGCTTAAGAATACAATTGGAACCAGAATTTCTTAAACTGTACAGTTGTTAAGTCATGCCTAATTTTATGACTGTTTTACTGTAATTATTAATCAAATTTGGCTTCCTCTATTGCAGGAGTCTTCAAACTTGGCCCTTTTATGACTTATGCACTTCAACTCCCAGAATTCCTCAGCCAGCGTCTTGAGCAGGCTGGCTGAGCAGCCAGTCCACAAGTCATAAAAGGGCCAAGTTTGAAGACTCCTGCTCTTTTGACTTTGCTTGTCAGAAGTCGCTAGGAAAGTTGCAGATGACTGTCATATGACTTTGGGGTGCTGCAACTATTGTAAATGCATGTCAGTTGCTAACCACCTGAAGCACAATGACTATGGGAATATTAAAATGATCATAAGTGCAAAGACCGGGTTGAAAGTCACTTTTTTGAGCAATATCATAACTATGAATAATAACTGTAAGTTGAGGACTACCTTTAGATGTTGTTCTGGAGATGGCTTGGAGGAGAGCCTCTTATTAATAAAAAAATAGCATGATAAATATTAAAACTGCAATCCTATTAGTTCATGAGATAACATAGAAAGGAGAAGCAAGAAAGGATTTGCTCACAGCAACCTGCTAGCCATAGTAGAAGACCAGGCGCTTCTCCAGCATGATGAATGTAGCATCTACCGATGGGTAATCTCAGCCTTCCTGCTCAGATGAGACTAAGTCAGAACTTTAGCCATGCCTCCCTTGGGCACTGCCTTCCCCAGTTTTTGACTTAGTCTCAGCTCAGTAGGATGCAACTTTGTTTGGCTCCTCAGTTAGGCTAGTTAAAAAGAGATTTATTAGATTTGTGGTAGTAGCATATAATTTAGGATCAGATTTTGGCTGGTTTTCTATTTGTTTTCTATTTGTTTGCCAAAGTTTATTGAGTTGAAGGGAGCTTAAAGGCAGCTTTAGTGCCTCTTAGGTCCTAAAGGGCCCTTTCAGGCTCTCTCCGGACCGTTTCTCAGCCTCACCAGATCATCGAGGATTTCAGTGAAGATCAGCTGTTTAGCGCTGAAATCGGCGCTTTTATTTGGTGCTTGGGGCTTCCCGGGAGCGCGACTCGGCTGGGCAGCTTCGTTTTCGTTGATCTCGTGGCCACAAGGTCCCTGCAGGTGCACGAGGCTCCGAATCGCAGCGGAGGCTGCGCTATGAATTGCAAGTTGTTTTTGCCTTATAATCGAAGGGGAAGGTAGCCCTTACTAATTTAAGCTCCCTCTGCTCCTTTTTCGGGCTGAATGACCCACATAGATCGCTGGAGCGGTCATTACAGCGCCGCCATTTTGAGCGACAAGGAGGCCTTGGGTCGCCATTTTGAAGTACAACAACAGGCGTGGTCGCCATTTTGAAGGCCCTCACGTGCCATAGCGATGCGATTGGGCCTGATTCCACAGGAATTTTAGCCTGCTGTGCCAGGTTTCCGGGGGGATTCTCAAGCTCTCCTTGCATATTTCTCTCTTGATCAGAGAAAATAGCTAAGAAAGGGGGTGCGGTTGCCAATTTGGATTTCACTATTGATCATACATATTCTTCACACGGTCTATTCCTTTGTACTGTCCTCTGAGGGGGTTTTATTTAGAATCCACCTGTTCTTATTAGTCCGCAGCACTGTGCCTGCAGGGCCTTGACAGGCAGTTCTAGAGAATTGTCTGGCTGTTTGCCTTCATGGTTCATCATAGCGTGGGAACCTCCCTCTCTGATAACCAGATCTGTGTGTTATTTCCCCCCCATTCCTGGACATCTACCCGGAATATCCAGTGTGCGATGGCAGACAGTGCAACTCTTCAGACATCGCAGGAGTCTGACCTTCCCCCCGCACAAAAAAAGCGCAGATCTTCTGATTTGGACACGGGGGGGGGGGGAGAAAAAGGCCAAGACAAAGAACATAGAGCCCTCCAAAGCAGCTGAGCGAGAGACCTCGAGGAGACATCTGGCGCTGGAGAAAGAGTTCTCCAGAGCTCAAAGGCTCAGGTCCAGTGAGGCTGACGTGGTTCCCCCTGTTTCACTGGACCCATCCCCATTTGGGCCTCATTTCGCGCCTTCTCATGATGCCCTAGGAAGTGGTCTCCTCAGGGGGAAACTGAACAGGTTGGTCCCTCTCCTTCTCCCCCCTCCTCCTCCTCCTCCTTCAATCACACAACAGGTCCCTGAAGCAGCATACCCTTCCACTGCAGCTGGAATTCGTTATTCAGACCAACAGGAGGCATGGTCAGAGCAGTTCCAGGTGTTCATGCATCATGCCTTTGGACAGTTCATGGCCTCATCCATGGGCTAAAGGTCTCCTCAGATACCACCACCTCTGCCCATACCTTTAACCCAAACAGGGCATGCCCTGTTAACTGGCGCTGGTGATTCTGAGACATCCTCTCAGTTAGGGGAAGAGGAATCAGTGGATCTGGAGACGGCAGACATTCCTATGTCAAGAGGATGAGGAGGCTGCACCGGATCTGGCCCCAACATTGGATCTTTTCGATCCTTCACTATTCAGGCCATTGCTTATGAAGGCTTGTACTACAGCCAAATTGGCTACGGAACAGGAACCTAAACCATCTACCTCCACTGCACAAGAGTCTAATCCCTTGTTTGCAGAGAAAGTAGTGGAAGAAAGACAAATTCCTTGCCCAAGTGTCTTCCGCACCACTGTGGAGAAACAGTGGTCCTCATTGGCCACTCTGCCTTCTCCTAATAGTACAGAAAAGAAGTTGTTTAATGTTTCCTCTTCATTTGCTTCTCTTCTAGAGGTGCCTACTGTAGATACTCCTCTCCACATCCACAATTCTGGGAGATATGGCTGAAGCCCTAAAGGCGGAGGACAAGAGGTTTGAATTTTCTCTCCATAGCGCTCACCAGGCCTCGGCATGGGCGATCAAGGCGGCAACGTCTTCGTCCTTTTTTGCAAGGGCGTCCATTATGTGGCTTCGCGAGCTGCAGGCCCTGATTTCTCCTGACCAGGTGCGTGCCCACCAGACGTTAGGAAAATTACTTGCTGCTTCAGAATATATGGCAGATGCATCCCTCCATTCTGCCAGGTATTCCGCCAGATCTATCGCGGCCACTGTTTCATCCCGCAGGTTGCTGTGGTTGAAACAGTGGAGGGCTGATTTAGAATCCAAATGGCGCCTCTCAACAGACACGTACAGCGGTACAGAGCTGTTCGGCCCTATCCTAGAACCATACCTTATAGAGGGGAAGGATAAGCGCAAGGTCCTTGCGCATCCCTCTAAGAGGCCGGATAAAAGGCCACAGCAGGAATTCCGCAGGCAGGCCTTTCGTACCAGAGGTTCCTGGGAGAGGAGGCAGCCCTTTCAGGCTGGGCAGTCCTGGGATTGGACCAGAGGTTCCCGATCCTTCTCCCCCAGACAGGATCAACAACAGGACCGCCAGAATCCGGGAACCAAGGGTCAATTCCAATCTAAGTGTCCCTTTCGGAGATCCGAGAGTTGCCCTTACAAGCGGTCCAAGTGATGCCAAGGTGGATCCTCCCATAAGCGGTCGCTTAGCACTGTTCAGCGACACTTGGGAGCTTACCACCAGCGACTCTTGGGTAAGGGAGACCATAAGATACGGTCTCACTCTAGAATTTATAACCACCCCTCCAGACCGCTTTATTTAGTGTCCCACTTCAAGAAACACAAACAAGGCCGAGTTAGTATCCACGGCCATATCCCATCTGTTAGAAATAGAAGCCATAGAACCAGTACCTCAGGAACAGAGGGGATGGGGATTTTACTCCATTCTGTTCGTGGTCCCTAAGGCCTCGGGGGGTTGGAGAGCCATATTGGATTTAAAGGGGCTCATTTACTTCCTAACCTACAGGAGGTTCAAGATGCAGTCCCTCAAATCCATTCTGGCCAGTATCAGGAAAGGGGATTTCCTATCTTCTATAGACCTGACAGAGGCGTACCTCCACGTACATATCCTCCCAGAACACTGCAGATTCCTCCGGTTTTGTTACGTGCACCGGCATTATCAGTACAGGGCTCTACCTTTCGGGCTTTCATCGGCTCCTCAGGTATTCACAAAGATATTGGCAGTTTTGGCAGCCCATCTCAGATTGATTCCGATGCGTGTACAATATTACCTGGACGATATAATTATCCAATCCAGTTCTTTCTGTTCCGCCCAATCAAACCTTCAACTAACAATCAATACTCTTCAGGAACACGGATTTTCCGTGAATTTCAACAAGAGTCACACAACACCTTCAACTCGCCTCCTTCACCTAGGAGCAATTATAGACTCAAACCTTTGCAAGGTTTACTTCTCACAGGAGCGCAAGGACAGTATCAGGTCACTTGTCTACAGATTACGGAGAGAAGGTGGTTTTACTGGTCCAGCTGTCTCAGCTGTTGGGAAAGATGGTTTCCTGTCTGGGGATCGTTCCATGGGCCAGACTATACTCTAGAGCCCTCCAGTGGTTCCTTCTTCCTTTCCAGAAGCGGAACATGAGTGCTTCCACAAGGAAGGTGAGAGTTCCACATCACACACTGTTGTCTCTTCTGTGGTGGACGTCATCAGCAATGAACAGGGGATCCCTATTCAAGGAGCCTCCCAGGCTCACCTTGACTATAGACGCCAACCTGTTCGGCTGCGGCGCTCACCTACAGACTCACATGGCACAGGGTCAATGGTCCCAGTCAGATTTATCGCACAACATCAATTGGCTGGAACTCAGAGCAATCCATCTGGCACTCCGTCAATTTTCCACCC